CGGCGGCGCGGCGTGGAATCGATAGGCGCGCTCTCGGAGGCGGCCGGCGCAGCCCGATGCCACCCCAGCCGCCCGCCGCGGGCCGCCGCTCGGCCCCGACGAGCTGTCGGCAAACAATGTCGGTCTGATGTTTCCTGCTGTCGGCGGCCAGGCCTGCCGCTGGGGCGGCCGCTCCCCTCCGCAGCGGCGCGTTACCACGCAGACCGCGGCCGTCAGCACAGCCACCCTCGCCGTCCCGCCGCCACCGTCTTCCACCGCTGCCCCCGGCTGCTGTCGACGGCGGCTGGCTGTTTTTCGTCCAGCCTAGCCTCATCTCGGGACTCGCGAGAGGCAGGACATGACAACGGTCCGATGAAAACCAGCCAGATCAACCGAGAGATCTCTGAGAATATCTCGTGTATGACATTTTTGTGTTCGGCATGACCTCACAACATTGCAAATCTGCAGTAAACGATTGCTCGGAAGCTGAGACCGTCTGCCCCGTACCGTACCTTCATGGTTGACCACACAATCTGTCGTCTTGACTCGCCGCGTCTGGTCCGTCGCTCTGCCCTGTGACTCTCGGGGGGGGGGGGCGGACGTCGGCAGCCGGGACCGACGACAGGCCGTCGGCGGCTGGCCCCCGTCGAAGGTTGGTAACGTTATCTGGACGGCCGCTCTGCCGGCCGAGAGTGCCGCTCGTTCCTCAGCGCGGTCGTGACGGAGCTGCCTAAGCTGCTAGGGCCGGACTGGGGGGGGGGGGCAAATCTGCCTGAGGCCGCGCTGGCTGGACGGACGCAGATGGCCCTGCCTAGAGCGCTGGCCAGACCTGGCATAGAGGCGCATGAAGCGCCGACTGAAATAATGTCGACCTGCCTTAAGAGCTGAGCGGACTATGGCGGTACTGGGTGAGACGCTAACTGAACCAGGGTTAACCCTCGTCCTGGCAGGGGGGGATCGATGTGACCCTATAAGGTTTTTCAAAGATAGCGTAAAAACGGCGGCGCGCAGCGCCGCCAAATTCGGTACAGGTTATGGGGCAACCTTTTTCCAAATTTGCACAGGGGCGAGAAGTCCTGGGGGCCTACCTACCTACCAAATTTGGTGTTTCTAGGTGCCATAGGAGCCAATCGCGAGGGGGGTCGCATCGACCCCCCCCCCCCCTCCTGCCAGGCCGTGATATGAAAAATGCCCTGCCAGGGCGAGGGTTAGCCTGTCAAGGACGTTGACCGAACGAGAGTGGGCCTGCCTAGTGCCTACAACGCTGAATGGACGTGGGTTGACCAGCCTAAAACGGACCAGGGTAAACCTGATGGCCCTGGCATGACCCATGATGATAGAAAGACCTAAGTGATGACGTCAGGGGTGTTACACCGTGCCATGAGTGGAAGATTTTGCATACACCAGTTGGGCTGTGCTGGACCGAGAACAAGGGCAGGGGGGACAAGAGAATAGTTAAAAGACTATAAGAGAGGACTGTAAGAGGACAGGAAGAGGGCTGGGGGAGGACAAAGAGAGGACTGAGATGCGGCGGTAGAGGACTGAGAGAGGGCTGAGAAAATCTGGGAGAGGGCGAGGGCACCGTTTCGGTTCACCGGGCCGGGCCGATCGTTCCGAACCGGCCGCCGCTGGCCGCCTTCGGGTCCAACGGTCCGCGAAGCGCTTATTTACTGGCGTTAGACAGAAATATGACTTCGGCACCGACTGGCCGGACAACTTTTGGGCGCCGGCGACGCGTCTGGGCCGGCGGGAGCGGCGCCTGTCGCCGCGGCGGCGCGTCTGTCAGCCGTCATCGGTGACGGGTCTGTGACAGACGTGACAGCCGCAGTGGCCGTCCCACTGACATGTGACGGATATGAGTCGGATTATGCATCTGATGCGAGAACTCGCGCCGCCACTGAAGTTAGCTGGGGTGGCTGGCTGGTGAGGAAGGGTGTTCTTGAGACATTGGAACGCTTATCTTGCTGCAGTGTTCGAGTACTTGGAAGTATGATGGAAATTATTTTTGAAAGTTTAAGCTGTTCTCAGCTCAGCTAATAAGTGTGTAAGCCGTGTAGCGAGCTCACCCCAGGACAGGGAAAGTTTGGAGCGAGCGCGGAATATCATACTTTCAGAGATAGCCTGGAGCACAAATGACAGAGTTTTACTGTATGTACTGTACTGTAAGCATATTGGTATACTGTCGGCTGGTTTTGACAATAAGCTGCTGTCATGTGTTTGAATCAAAATTATACCATAGATAAGAGGAATCATGTAAGCTGTTTATCCATGATTCATGTTATTTATGAAATTAGGTGCACAGCATACATGCGACAATTTGTACAGCTTCATCGCTAAATACATTTTCAAGTTGGAAAGTTGAGCAAGCGACGTTAAAACTAATTAACTTCTACTTACTAGCCCTCGTTTCCGTCACTCAACACATTTAATCATAGATCGCACATTTGGTTACTAGCTCTAGTAGTAGTACACTTCTACCGTAGCCTCGGACGACTCGCGTTGGTATGATGTTAGCTAGCGGTGGTCGGTTGGCGGTTGGCGCCGCGGCCGTCCGGAGTAATCTCATCAGACGCCTGCCGTGCACCCGTTAGTGGCGGCTGCTGACGGCACCTGGTACTCTTCTGGAGCGCCGCCTTCACCTTCTACGTCATAGCCACCGCCGCCGCTACCGTCACAGCCACCGCCGCCGCCACCGCTACCGCCGACACTGCCGACACTACCCCCATCGCCATCAGCACACTTTTCCTGGTGCCTACACATTATTCTTTTCTGGGAGCCAAAGCCTATGTGAGCACCAAGCACATGCACATTATGCGGCGAAATTCCTCATCACTCTGCTCTTGCGCTTATACGCCAATGTCCTTCACAAAAAGAGTCGGCTGCGTCAGGCGAGGGTTGATAGGGAGCGCACACGGAAGATCCCTTCTCTACGCACAGGGAGGAATATTCCGAGAGCCACGCAACCGTGTGCAGTGGCTAGCACAGCGGCTAACATTATTTAAAAGCCGCCCCATATAGCATCGCCATCACAACGCTGGTCTGCCGTCGCCCGTGCCATAAAGGCTCTCGTCAACAGCTCGGATCCCTTCAGCTTCACCGGGGAAGTGGTCCGGCGATGGTCGGTAACAGCGCTATCAGTGCCGCGATAATTCGGTAAAACGGCCCTCTCCCGACGGGACCGACGGGCCGCTGCCGCCTCCTCTCGCCGGCCCGCTGCTCTCCCCCCTCCCCGCCCCGCTCCTCTCCCTCTCACCACCCGTCGCTCCCGTGTCAGCGTGACGCAAAACAATGCATTTTATATCGGCGGCGGCGCTGGCGGCACGACAGCGACGCTCCCGGCGCGGCGTGGCGAGCCGTGGCGCGGCCGGCGTCTCATCGCCGTAGCTGATGGATCGACCAAGAATTAATTACCGCGGCCGCGATTCGACCCCGGGGAGCGGCGGGTCAATTATGTCGCCACACGGTCGTGTAATTGATCCGTCAGCGGCGGCGCTCGACCGGTCATCGCCAAGGGACCGGCGGCGACAGCTCTTCTGTCGAGGAACCGACGGCGACACCCTCCGGTGTCCACTGATGTCTAATTGTCTCTCCTGTCTTTCACCCGCTGGCTGCGATGGTTAAGAGCTTTCGAAGCCTGTTCTCGGTTCAGCGTTCACTGTTCAGGGTTGCACATAAGAGGATACAGTACATACATACATATAACCAATGTCGCCTGTCCTTATTGTTTGTCTAACTGTGGGGCGAAAGGCTGCGTCCGCAGATAACGTTCGCTGCCTGTATCCTTTCGGCGCCAATGGCCTCTTCAGTAGAACCACCTCCAGTTCTGCCAAAATGCTAACGGCCGGTGAAATCCGCGGAATCCGAGACTGCGTTCACAATAAATGTTCGGCTCGTCCCCGACGGTTGCGGCTCAAGTGGCCGATAACACGGTCCAATCGTGCAGCGAGAGCTCGGCCGTGCTGGGTTACCGAGGCGTATTCCCGGTGGAGCCGCGCCGACATCGGCGGCGGCGGCGGCGGCGGCGCGGCGGCGCCTAAGTCGGCGCGGCGCGGCGGAAGCAGCGAGGCGTCACTCCAGTTCATGCATCAAACTCGCTGCGCTCGAATCATTCGCCATCAACCATCAGCCCGGTTTGGAATTCGTTTGCATCCAATGAATGTTAAGTGCGTCAAGAGGCCGGCATATGAACTGCTCTGCGGCCGGCGGGACGGTTGAGCTCGAGAGGAGAAATGCGGGTGGCGACTCTACCGGCGGCCTGCCGCGTTCCAGTGCATCAGCTCATTAGCAGACCCACGCGGGACACCCTACCACTGACATAACATCGCAGTCTGAAGTCGTGGGCGTGTGAAGTCCTACAAGTTATTCAATTTGGCAATTCGCTGGAGAAGTTCTATGCATTGATGCATAGAGAGATCAGTGTTTGTCCGTAAATGGCTGCTAGGACAGTGGAACGATTTTCGTTCCCTTGCGTACCACCAAGCACTGCGTAATAAGCAGTTAAGCACTACACATGTAGTTATTGTATTAGCTGCCACTTTCACTTCATAGATAACATAAATAAATCTGGAAAACTGTCTTGTGCTGGTCCGCTGGTCAACTTAAAGGTTGACCGCTCGTTGATTAAAGGCTCGCTGGTCGTGAATTCCCAGTCTCTAGGTTCTGGTTGAGCGGCCACAGCTCATGGGCCATTCAATTTGACAGCTGACGACACCTCAACTTAGTCGGCGCTGGGGCAGCCAAATCCTCTTGCCACTTGGTGACCATATTCTGTCCAGAAGTCATCATATAGGTAGGCTTAAGATCAAAGAGTCAGCAGTAGCCTGCTCAACGAAATCTGCCCCAATAATAATTTAAGTTCTTCAAAGCCACCGGAAATAAAATGAGCATCTCATCTTGTTAAATTCGTGAGCTGGCTCTTATTTGACAAGTTGCAATGTGATGAGCTTGTAAAACAGTACCAAAATATTGTCCATTCGTCGCTAAATGTATTGTGTTTTTAACATATTTGTGCTCTTTTCTAGGTGTATCGGCGGTCAGGATGATAAAAACCCACTTTCCAAGTCACGTGGTTATGGGAAAGTCGATGAACATGACGTGCGACTACGACCCGGAGGGGGAGCGCGTGTACCAGGTAAAGTGGTACAAAGACGACAACGAGTTCTACACTTACATTCCGGGAAGTTCGGCCAAAACCTACGACACGACCGGCATGAATATCGACAATATTGACGTGAGTAAACTGCATTATTACATGGCTCCTGTGTTAATTTGGCATGAGATATTTTTTATTATTACATGGCTCCTGTGTTAATTTGGCATGAGATATTTTTTACTATTGCCCGGCATCAGGTTACTGACCTTTCAGTGTCAGGTTACTGACCTTTCTGAAGGTGAGAAGCGGTTGCCATGTCAACGGTTAATAGTAAGTTGCTCGCGCAGTGGTGTTTGAACAAAAATTCAAATGTCGTAATTTTATCGTCGTTTTCTCAGACTGTTCAGTTTGATTTCGTGATTGGCTAGTCAAGTCATCTAGAACTGGGCCGTCATTTGAACATGTCCGTTCAAATGCCCCGATTTAATTTGTTGGAGCCGCATGAATTGGATGAGCTATTTTCATCGCGCAGGGCTCAGGGAACTAAAAAGGTGATTAAATCAGCAGAAGACGTCTTCATTGAGTTCTTGCAAGTAAAAGGCATATCTGTTGAAAGCTGCATGCACAGCAACGACGTCCTGGACAACGCTGTGAAGGAGTTCTTCATTACTGTAAAACGCAAGGACGGCGAACGCTACAAATCGAAGAGTCTCCACACTCTCAAGTACGGCGTGAAACAGAAAACAGAAAACAGAAAACAGAAAACAGAAAACAACTAAGTGTGTGCCGTAGACATGTGACGTGGCTATGATTGTATATCCAATACATTCAATTGTACCATGATATTTCTGTTTGGATATTTTTATTACGGGATGAATGAGTAGGTACTAAGTAAAGATTCCGAGAGTTGGCCATGTAATAAAACGAATACTGCATGGGGGAGCGGGCAATAGCAAAAATATTGCCCTCTGTAACGTCACTGTCGCCCGAGGGTGAAGACCGAAACAAGTGCTATTGCCCGAGGCGAAGCCGAGGGCAATAGCACTTGTTTCGGTCTTCACCCTCGGGCGACAGTGACGTCACATCGGGCAATATTTTTTGCTATTGCCCGCTCCCCCATGCAGTATTCGTATACTATTGCCCGGCATCAGGTTACTGACCCTTTCAGTGTCAGGTTACTGACCTTTATGAAGGTGAGAAGCGGTTGCCATGTCAACGGTCAATAGTAAGTTGCTCGCGCAGTGGTGTTTGAACAAAAATTCAAATGTCGTAATTTTATCGTCGTTTTCTCAGACTGTTCAGTTTGATTTCGTGATTGGCTAGTCAAGTCATCTAGAACTGGGCCGTCATTTGAACATGTCCGTTCAAATGCCCCGATTTAATTTGTTGGAGCCGCATGAATTGGATGAGCTATTTTCATCGCGCAGGGCTCAGGGCACTAAAAAGGTGATTAAATCAGCAGAAGACGTCTTCATTGAGTTCTTACAAGTAAAAGGCATATCTGTTGAAAGCTGCATGCACAGCAACGATGTCCTGGACAACGCTGTGAAGGAGTTCTTCATTACTGTAAAACGCAAGGACGGCGAACGCTACAAATCGAAGAGTCTCCACACTCTCAAGTACGGCGTGAAACAGAAAACAGAAACAGAAAACAGAAAACAACTTAGTGTGTGCCGTAGACATGTGACGTGGCTATGATTGTATATCCAATACATTCAATTGTACCATGATTTTTGTGTTTGGATATTTTTTTATTACGGGATGAATGAGTAGGTACTAAGTAAAGATTCCGAGAGTTGGCCATGTAATAAAACGAATACTGCATGGGGGAGCGGGCAATAGCAAAAATATTGCCCTCTGTAACGTCACTGTCGCCCTCGGGTGAAGACCTCCACAAGTGCTATTGCCCTCGGCTTCGCCTCGGGCAATAGCACTTGTTTCGGTCTTCACCCTCGGGCGACAGTGACGTCACATCGGGCAATATTTTTTGCTATTGCCCGCTCCCCCATGCAGTATTCGTATATTACTATTGGATTTATAGACGTTATTGGATTTGTTATGGGGGCTTTTATAACTAGCCGCTAAAGTGCGACACTAAACTTAACCGAACCGCCAGTATTCTTGTAATGGGCCGGTTGTAAACATTTATTTCATTGTGTAGTCGATAGTTGACCATTATGAAAATGGGATCGGTAAAACCTCGTAGTTCCGCACCTAAACGGCAGGTCAGGATCCAGGTCCAGGGCCAGGGTCAAAAACGGTCCATCCATCTCCATGAGGATTGTGATGACTTCCACTGCAGTGAGCATCGCAGTTCCTGTTTTTATGGGCTCTAAAATACTTCCAAATTACATCTAAAAATCTACTCTCTATATATTGCAAATTGTCGCCAGCCTCAGCACATCCTTTACCCGGGCTAAGAGGACCAGCTCTTATGCCCTTCAATTTCAATAGAATGGAAGGCGTTTTGTGTAGTATGGATTATGCCAAAATGCGCCGCCCGGGAATGCGGCTACGCGGCTCTTTTTGCACTCATTGTCCACCACCAACTGGTCAAAAATAGGGACTGGCCTATACACACCGTCTGGAATAGGTGTGATTTGTGATGTAGAATGCAAGGTCTTGCCTTGGTCGTCAGCTTCAAACAAATTTTACTCGCTCAAAATAGACATAACTTTCAACAAGTTTTACCTAGGTATATCAATATCGAAGTGCTGCCGCACTGCACATCACCAGTTACATGTCACTTCTAAGAGCAGAGTTCTCTCCAAAGTTTGACCATCAGCGACCACTCCCGAGTACAGACTGTTTCCGGACCGTAACTTGTCCAGCCCCACCTTTGTTTCCCTTCTGCGTAATACCGTCGAGTTGGTCCATACACGGTGTTTGTTCAGCGTCAGGTCATCACCGGCCCGCCGTCAAGTTTGGGGAAAGTATCCGAGTTGGTCGCCCCGTTTGCCGATAGATGGAGTTGTCAGGAGCAAAGAGTGTCGTCATTCACGACGTGGATCTGCGCATGGAGGGCAGGTACGGCTGCGAGATCACCATGGACTCATCCTTCGACACAGTCATCGGAGTCGGGGACGTCATGATCGTCGGTGAGTAAATTGTTATGTGAGGTACTCGGCCTGGCGTAGGTGCGGGTTTACAATGCCGGTTTACATATCAACTTTGCGTAACGACAAATGATGAATATGAAATGTATTTTAGCTTAAGTTCTTAATAAACTAACTAATAGCATGTCTTTATGTCGGTCGCACAAGCAAATAAGCTGCGAATAGCAATTCAATATCAATATCCAGTATCCACAGTCCACACCCCGTCGCGCTGTAACGTGGCTGAACGAAGGATCGGTGAGCGCCTGGTAGGCTGCGCCGCATAACATCCTGGTACGGCGGCACAGCCTACCCACCGTGCGTCCGCTAACCACCGCACCTCTCCACCGCGCTGCACGAAGTGAGCCGGCGCGGTGGCGTGGGAGCGAGCAGATGCACTCGTGAGCTCAAGTGCATTATTATTATTTTTTGAACAATTTCGTCTATAACACTAAAATGTTCAGTGACAATGCTGTCCATGGGCTTTTGCGTATTAAAACTTTCAAGTAGCATCCAATCCCAGCCTTTCATCAGGGAGCTTCAACTTTCTCTAGCAGTTAGCACAATTAGGAAAGGGAGGCGTTTGTCTCCTCTTCAAACTCTATATTTCCTTTCTGTGACCCTGTTCGACAGTCACCTCTCTGCGAATCGCAGACGCGGCCGACGCAGCAGCTCAGCTCAGCGCGGACATATTACTGTCGTGGAGATAATTTACTACGGCAACAAACCATTTCGTCCGCGCCATAACCGTTCATGCGCCGATAAAACTGCGCCAGAAATGGCGACATATGGTACAATGCTATCAGGTTCCAGTGCGAGAAACGGCCTGTGATAAATGCTGCCAAATGCTGCCAAGTCCTCGTCGTTTCAGCGGTCATACGGCAGGTCGGTGATCGATTCCCCATTTTCCGCCGCAGCGTTGCCGCAGCGAGGTCCAAATATCACGGGCCTGTTTCTAGACAGCATGGACGAAGGTGACCGCGTCTGGGTCAACTGCACCTCGTACAGGTCAAGGCCAGCCGCGCAGCTCACCTGGTATATCAACGGTGCTAGGGTGAGTGAAAATACGCACATGACGCATGTAATGTTATAAACTTATAACGCATATAACATATAACGCATATAATGCATACAGCCCATATAGGGCACAAATATTACATCTGAGTACAAATATGCAGCACACACAGATGCATGCAACATCAGACTGGGTGACTCTCTCTCTCTCTCTCTCTCTCTCTCTCTCTCTCTCTCTCTCTCTCTCTCTCTCTCTCTCTCTCTCTCTCTCTCTCTCTCTCTCTGTCTCTGTCTCTGTCTCTGTCTCTGTCTCTGTCTCTGTCTCTGTCTCTGTCTCTGTCTCTGTCTCTGTCTCTGTCTCTGTCTCTGTCTCTGTCTCTGTCTCTGTCTCTGTCTCTGTCTCTGTCTCTGTCTCTGTCTCTCTCTCTCTCTCTCTCTCTCTCTCTCTCTCTCTCTCTCTCTCTCTCTCTCTCTCTCCCTCTCGCTCGCCCTCCCCTAAGCTCTCCCGCCGTGGCTGATCGGACAAACACACACCCTCCCAGCCTGGCGACTGCCACTGCGGTCCACTCGCTATAGGACGCTGGTCGCGGCGATTAGGCCAGCAGCTCACTGCTATCGCCCCGTGGACGCTCGGCTGGCTTGCCGTCGGCCCTAACTCAGCCCTCCCCGCCCCGACCCCTCCCACAGTGACCCCCAGTACGGCCGTCTGGTCAGCCCATAACTCGCGCACAGCGGCCGCAGCGGCCCATCTGCAAAATAGGATGAGTAATGCGTTGTTTGTCGTGTAGAGCCTCTTCGAGTCGCCGATGGGTGCGTTTCTTGTTTCTGGAGCCGGGTGACATTGGGACACAACGCTACCAGCGCCGGAGTATGCAACAGGCGCCTAGTGTCAGCATTTAACGGAACGCGCTCCCAGCCATAGCCCGACGAGACTGGGGCCATCTGGTTCGATATTGAACGCTCGCCATTCGCACGGATGGGAGTTCTCGGCAAATCTGGCGTGCGACGATAACCCTTGATTTAATTGGGCCCAAACGGGATTTACCGCCTATTTTATGGGGATAAAACCGTCAGACTTCAGTCTGATGAAATTTGTTCATGCATGGCTTTCCCCACTGGAGCATTATGGCGGCGAAGCCATGGATCAGGCTAATCGACATTCTTCAATGAACTCCGTGAGCGTAGTCATAGCCCGTGAGCTTATGTTCCAATATTTTCGAAGATCAAACGCTAACTAAGTTAACTTCAGCGAACCTCTATCTTGGTTTCAGAAGCTGATTGATCTCTTCAAGTTAACGGAAGTGTCTCGCTTCAAAAGCTCTAATACCTTAATTCCTTTTAATGATCGGCCTCGTCAGGAAAATTTCAATAAATTCTGGAACAATTATCAATGGCATTAACAGCTGAATATTTTTTTGCATGAAATAAAACTGACAAGAAATAATTGATAATATAAACCTAAGCATGGAATTAAAGAGAAGAAAATCCAACTCAAGACCTTCAAGTTGCGGTAATATAAAAAGAAGGGAGCTGAGAAAGCAAATAGTTATGCTCTATAGGACCAAACTTTATTGACAACAAATGTATTTAGCAAAATATTTTGTGCAAAAAACAACAATCTGGCAGATCTGACGCTATCCCAACTTCTTTGCGATTGAGTTACCTAAGTTAGGTGAAACGAAAGCATGCGTCCAATTCAATCGCGCCAACCAGAAGAAAGGCGCTCAATTCAATCAGTACCCATCTCACTGCATGCCTGATCTCCACTGCTTACACAAACAACGCAATGTGATACATCCATCTCAATGATAGATGAGACCCTACACTACAGCAGAGTCGCGGCGACAACACCTCCGTATGTACAGGTGTAAGCACAGACTGACGCCCCTGCGGCCCCTTTCAGTCCGTCGCTCCCAGCTCGGGCATAAATCAACCGAGCGACCAGCCAGTGCAGCGGGCCGGCTTACAGCGCTATATGATCGCAGTAATGTGCAGTCGGCATTAGTCGGATTGAGGCGCGAGGGCTCGACCGGTCTCCCCTCTGAGCGTGCCCAATGAGGGGATCTGTCGGGGGAGGGGGGGGGGGGGGAGAAGGCTGGCGGACGGTGATCACATTGGCTGATATGGCATTGATCTGTGAGGGTTGTCACTGGGGACGAAGAGCAACACTTGGCGTCAGAGAACGCGAGGGAGAAGCACAATAGACCCCGCGAGCCGGGTGAGCGCATCTCCCGCGCACGAGATCTAATCGAATGACTCGTGACAGTCTATGTCGGTAAATAACTACCCCTGCTGTGCAATTTAGTGCGCATACATTATACGAGTACACGCACCAGCATTAAGTGGGGAAGACTAACGGGAGTGCGATTGTTAAAGCATAAACATAATTTGTTTGTGTTAAATACCTTGAAAATGTACCTTCCATCATGCAGTAGGTAAGGAAGGGTTTTTAACGGAATATAAGGTAAGAATATCATTAATATTATTATTCATTCCCTCAGCAGTTTTCAGGATCACAGTTCCGAGGGCTGTATAATGTACCAAGTAGTCTAGTTCTGATCCTAAAATTATACACAGTTGAAATTAGCCGTTTTCACGACGGGCTGTCCGGCGAATGCACCTGATTTGACCAAATCTGCACCTAATTTCTTTTACACCAAATACCTTCACTTTATGACTTGATTTCAGTGTTTTAATCGATGATGCTCTCTGATAATGTGACGAAGCAGGCATATAAGCAATTAGTGCAACCCTAGCTGATAGCTGCTAAGAAACACACTGAACCTGATTTGACCAAATCTGCACCTGATCTGTACCAGATGTGCACCAAATGTGTACCAGATGGCCGTCGTGAAAACGGCTAATATGTGCCAAATATCTCTCGCTGAACAGTTGTCGACTAATGAGATCATAAGACTTTAATACGACTTCTTCTCCTAAAATGTCCACGGGTGATCGCTAATGGTAGAGCATAACACAATGTCTCATATATGTTGTCTTTTTAATTGACTGTCACCACCTATTTCCATTTTATTGGTGGAAATCGTGTTCGGGAGTCCCTATATTTGTGGAGTTCATATTATGTTTTCCAATGGCGTAATACCAACAGCATTTACTCATTCCTTGACACAACCACATTGCATATGATGTTGAGATATTAGGTATGTCTTCAACCTGTGCCGAGCATGCACAAAATAAACGCGTTCCATACGCGCCGTATCGGTGCCAGAGGTCGATACATTAGTTAATGGCGCTGAACTTGTGCTTGTGTGGGTTATTCGTCACAACGACAAATAGCGTGCTCCTGACCAGCCAGTAAATCACTCCCCTCAGCACATAATAGTTGCAATAAATAATCCACACAACGTCTCGCGGTAATAAATCTCTCATGGAAAACCAAAACACCTGTCAATAGCACTCGTGACCCAACCAGCTCATCAATATAAAGTTATAGGTAGCCGAAGTCCGAACCCCTAGTAAAATTTGCCCAACTTGGACAAGTAACTACTAACCCATGTTTGCTAATAAATTTAAACATATACGGAAAAATGCGCCATGCGAAGGACTATGCGAAGGCTTTTGTTTTTGTGACACGTAAATTCACGTCAATTTCAAGCGTCCCGATGACGGATCTTCACGCCAGTCACCAAACACTTTGGATATATTTTCAGACCTTTACACTTAGGCAGCGTTTCCAGCAGTCATGTGAACTGAACCTTACGCATCTGTCGTCTGGTCTGAACGACTTGCCGGCTGTCGACTGATACTTACCGCGCTCGATCTACAGCCGCTTTTTCACACTTGCCCAGAAAAAAACTGCCGGATGCTTGGCTGCGAACGACATAAATATAACTCTTATAAGTTGTGAATGGACGTTGCTCACCCCGACCCGTTGACCGTGTATTCAGCGTCGAAGCAAGGTGGCCTCTGCGTGTGACAGGCAATATCGGCCCGAGTCGGAGCGGGGTGTCAGCCGCCCCGAGTTCTGCCCCCGCTCCTCCGCCACCCGTCGCCAGCACGGTAGGTACCCCCCTGGCTCGCGGTCCGGCGCCGCGGCGACCCAATCAAACACGCTGAATGATAGGCCGGGCCAGAAATCACCTGAAAGACCGGCTCGGCCGGTCAGTGGACCATGCCGACCACACGTCTCGGCCGCCGGTGTCGGTCGCTGCCGATGGCTGTGGCCAGCCGCCATATATCGAACAGTCGCCGCTAGTGACGCGGAAAATTGGCCCGGCTGCCGTAAAGTAGCGGCTCCGCCGGACAGCTCCGATCGTGCCTGCAGTGCAAATTTGACGCGTGCGTGTGGCTCGAGCTTGCAGCGCCCGCTCGAGAGATGTCGAATATGATGGCGAGCACGTCACTCGGCCCGCCACGCTCGACCTGGCTCCGGCCAGGAGGCGGAGAATGCGACTACGGCGGCGCTCAGTCGTCGTCCGGTTCCCGGAGGACAGCCGCTGGTTTATGACCTCATCGAGTGCTCTTCGCTCACACGGGAGCGGCTATCACTGCTGGCACGGCAGCGCGGCGGTGCTTCTGAGCCCGGCCGACCGGCCGGCTCGTATTGCTCTTCATGGAACGGCACCTAGGTACTCAGGATTAATGCAAATTAAAGGCGCTGATGTCTCGCCGCATTAGGAATGAGTTCCAAGTGGGCTGGTCTCAGGCGTTCAGTTAATGCATGTGAGTGTTACGCCACGCAGGAGTATTCACCAGTGGCATTCGGTCCTGTCCAAGGAGATATTCACCTACGTAGTCGATAGCTTGCCCGGAAAACTGGTTTCATATCACGATTTAGTAACACTAAATAACTCCATTTTCAACGCTCCGTAGGCTTGATTTCAAAGTCAAGATTGTGCAACTTCGGGAAACCGCGGAATCAATTGATTCATTGCGCTCATCTACCTTCATGTGGAATATCTATACCTTGCGAATCATCTCTCTCTCTCTCTCTCTCTCTCTCTCTCTCTCTCTCTCTCTCTCTCTCTCTCTCTCTCTCTCTCTCTCTCTCTCTCTCTCTCTCTCTCTCTCTCTCTCTCTCTCTCTCTCCCTCCCTCCCTCCCTCCCTCTCTCTCTCTCTCTCTCTCTCTCTCTCTCTCTCTCTCTCTCTTCTCTTCTCTTCTCTTCTCTCTTCTCTTCTCTTCTCTTCTCTTCTCTACTCTTCTCTTCTCTTCTCTTCTCTTCTCTTCTCTTCTCTTCTCTTCTCTTCTCTTCTCTTCTCTTCTCTTCTCTTCTCTTCTCTTCTCTTCTCTTCTCTTCTCTTCTCTTCTCTTCTCTTCTCTTATTCTTTCTTTCGACCTCTCGTCTGCATCACTTTTGTTAAAATGACGACGACATTGACGTAGCACAGTTAATCTGACATCCCCTTCATCTCCCCCAGTCGGATAACGCCTCTCTGAGGTGGTACCCAGAGCCAGTGGATCCCTCCGGGCTGCGCAATGTCACACTGGGCCTGGACTTTCGGCTGCGGGGCTCCCACTTCGGCTCCACCGGCCTGGTGATGCTCAAGTGCACCGCCGAGATCCAGACTGTGTTCTACCAGAGCGCCAACGTCCGCATCGTCAGCAGGACCATGGCCATGCGGTCCCCCTTCGGAAAGGGTGAGCTGCTCGTGGTATCCTGGGTATGGGTTTGAGACGTTAATACCGTTCGGAATCATGCGGTTAGTTTAATTGGTTCCGAATTCCGACGATGAAAAGGTTAGTGCTTGAAAAAGATATCCGCCTTGAAATTAATTCTAACCCTTGAATGTGCATACAACTTGTCATTTAATGGCAACTAAACAAATCTCAAAAATGTTTGTTATAGGTACACAATTAACAAAAAATAGCATGGCACGTCATTCAAACACCCACGGGCACCAATATGAATAATGCTCAAGCTCATATTCATTGACCAGCAGCATCCAACCGTAGAATATTTATCGATTTTCTCGTTCTTAAGCATTTTACAGCTGACCGACGCGCGCACAGCAGGACAGACAGACACCCTAACACCTGTTTGCAGGGTCTGCACTGGCCCTCAGTGGGTCTTCGGCGTCCCTGCTGTTGCTGCTGCTGCTGCTCGGCCTGCGCTGTCTCTCCGGAGGCTAGAGCTGCTTCTGTGACACTGGCTAATGACGTCACCGGATACAGAGCCGGCGGTCACCACCTCGCGAACAGAGAGCATGATTTGGTGTGAGACTGGATAGCTGTTAGATACTGACGCGATGATGACGCGAAGATGACGTGTTGATGACGCGTTGATGACGCGATGACGCCGTCGTGCTGCCAGGGGACGTTCGACCGTGTGTGCGTCATTGGAGGCACGTGGCTGCCGAGGGTCGTGTCCAGACGCTGTGGCGTCAGTGGAGATATTCTTGTCTGCCGTGGGTTGCGTCTGAACGTTATGACGTCATAAGAGGCACGTCTGTTTGTGGGATGGTTCGAGTGCGAGTGTGAATGCAAGTGTGAGCTGGCGAGGGTTGGGGACAGCCGGAATAGGAGCGGAATGAAAGCCCTGTTTGACGCTAAGTGCCCTCCAAGAATGCTTCCATTCAGAAATACGATGCTCTAATTAAGGCATGCTATTTTGGATGCAACCGACACCCAACAAACAGTACTCAGTAGGCACGGGCAGAGAGCAAATGATTGGTGACGCTGCCCACCTAGATGTGACTTATTAGTTATAATTACCGCTTCGATAATTTATTGCACAGCCTCCCCATAATAGCCGTTTTCACGACGGTCATCTGGTACACATTTGGTGCACATCTGGTGCCGATTAGGTGCAGATTTGGTCAAATTAGGCTAAGTGTGTCTCTTAGTAGCTATCAGCTAGGGTTGCACTAATTGCTTATATGCCTGCTTTGTCATATTATCAGAGAGAATCATCGATTAAAACACTGAAATAAATTCATAAAATAAAGATATTTGCTGTAAAAGAGATTAGGTGCAGATTTGGTCAAATTAGGTGCACTCGCCGGATAGCCCGTCGTAAAAACGGCTAATAAGTAACATAATGATCATTATGTTTTCACTTAGGTAATTTTTTATAATACCTATAAATCTCCGTGAAAACTAAATAAGGCAAAAGGCGCAGTTTCGCCCACAGGCAAATAATTACTTTAGAGGCATGTTGGACAAAAGTGTGACCGTTGTCAGATTTCATGACTCCTCTATTTATCAGCACTGCAGTTTAGCCATTTACTTAGGCACAAAATTTCCTTCATATTTGCATGTTTGTGTATACAATCAAAGTTGAAAGCATTTTGTACTTACTTCTGCTATATGCGAAACAAATGAAAAATCACAATGAGCATCATTATCAAAAATCTTAAATATAAAGAAGTTTCACCCTAACAGTTTTCCCTAAATTGCTAGGCAGTAGGGCAAATTTCTACCAAGAAGCCCTGAGATAATGCCTCATTATCTTTCAAAAGCAAAGCTGCTGAAAGTTTATCAGCACATTCTAGCAAGCGCCAAACATTCACTTTTCCTGTGAGAGACAATGCCCAGCCCAGTGCCCCCAACATTACCAAGGTGTCGATCGGACTCGGGTCTACTGGGTGTCCCTTTGAACCGATCTGCTGCTGGATGTGTGTGCAGAGTGACTGTCAATGATCATAGTATGACTGCCGCACTGTCTGCTTTGCTCTGTACTCATCGCGCCAGTGATCGCCACTGGCGCTGTCGCGATGATATTGGCCGCATTCCGAGACAGAGGCTGCTGTACGGCAGCCTGCGTTTGCATTTATATCAATCAGTGTACAACGCACAGCGCATGGGTGAACTAATGTATTGGCTAGCTAGGGGCAATTTATACCTATGTTTTACATGTTTTAGCTGACGGGTCACCCTCATATTGGTTTACATACCTATAAGAGCACGCAGATTGTGTTGTTAGCCGAATGAGTGCCGGAGGCCATATGGGTCTGACTGACGTTGTTCACTGTGATATGTTTATTGATGTGCAATGGATAATGGCATCGCGCAGACGGTGATGACATTAAAAGGCGCTGTCCGAAGGCTCAGAAATAAATTGAAATGTGTTCATGACTGACCTGTTGTGTTTCTAAGCAACGGATAAATGACATGATTTTATCTGAATTCAGAATGATGCTTTCCATAGTTTTGACTGAACAAACATCTACATTTATAGGTAGAGCTTTGAGAGGCCTTCTTTGGTTAAAGTTAAGTGTAGAAAACAATTGTTTTATTTGCAGGCTTGCAGCTTAAACTGAAGTCTGGCGGTCGCCAGGATAAATTACCAAGACATCTGAGTCCACATATCACCTATCCGTGCTTCTATCCTCAGGATACTGAAATCCTTCTCCTCCACGCCACAACCCCCCTCCGGGCTGGACAGGCAACTTTATCTCATGCGGGCTGCTCCCTTGGAGCGGCACCGCTGCTCCCGAGGGAGCGCACCCCGTAGCCGGGTGCAGTGAGTGCCTTGGGGCTGGGTGGCCTGTCCTCTGGACGGGCTCAGCCCCGGCGACTCACTAGGGTGCCTGCCCAGACCAATGTCTCCCCCTAATTCCTATCATCCTTCCGGCTCTGCAATGGTCTTGTCGACCGAAAGGGCCTAACCCAACAAAACAAACGAGTCCACATATAAAGTTTACCAATTAATTCAAAGATGTGTTACCCAAGTAAAAACGTGTTCCAAAATACCACAAAAATAGAACGTATTAGTCATCACCACTGTTTGCGTACTAACTGACCCAGCTTCACCACAGCTGACCCGCCACCCGTGACCGCGGCCCGACGGAGGGGAGGGGGCAGGGAGAGGGAGGGGCGCCCGGCATCGCCGCAGCACACCGACCAGCTGCGATATATAAATCTCCACACCGACCAAATATTAACCAATTACCTCGTCAATCTTGAGGCGGAAAGAAGACCGCCGCGCGCCGGCTAATTAAACCGCCCGAGATCTATTGCGGCGGTGACGGCCCATTCTGCCGGCTACAGCGAACCCGGAGGTGACCCCAGATCACAACCGCACCCAGTCCGTCAGCAGCTCACGAGGTTCCAGGACGCTGAGACGCATGCCTCTTGAGCGACTTGTGAACCCGAACTCTACGCCAAACAACGTGGGTTACCGGAACAAATTGACGAGAATGTCTAATGGCTAAAGTTCGAGGACTAACACCGAGGTCCGAGGTTGTTTTGCTGAAGTTTTGTTGACTCTGCTTACATTCCGGTAATTATGTTCAAACCTTTCATCTGATATCATGGGTTTCCATTAATCATGTTCTTTCATCGCTAAAGGATGGTTGACGACTGCCCCACAGCGTTTCCCCGGCCGGCTATTCGGCAACAGAGCTGCAGCAGCCGAGGGCCCGGGGGACTGTTTTTCGCCGCCGCGCCGCCCGCTGTGGGCGGTGGCGGGGGCGGGGGCGGCTGATCCGGTCCGGGGCGGCTCGGCAGCGTCTGTTGACTGCAGATATCCGCTGGGAAGCGGAGGCGGCCCGCCCCAGCCCGCCCGCCGGTCTGTCCCTCCGTCCGCCGCGCCGAACAGAGCAGTGGTGGTGCGGCCGGCCGGCAGACAGCGGCATTGATTCTACGGCAACTGATTTCAAAGAAATCGGCCTGCCGGGTGCGGTGACCTGAGGAGTGACATCACATGCCAGCGCCGCCGGGTGTGCCGTGCCTAGCGCACCCGCTATGAATATGTAAGTTGTTAATTTCCGGCGTCTCGCGACGGCTAGTAACGCCGAAGTGTAAGATCACGCGTAAAGCTAACGGGCATTATATGAGCCCTGCGAAAGTGGCTTCAGGACAAGCCACAAGCCAAGTGCACGTGCGCTATAAATAGGGTACTGAGTGGGCCGCATGGTATTGACGGATCGTTTAGAGCCAAGACATCTGTGATCCACACAAAAATTCGCTTAGTTGTAAATCTTTTGCAGATCAAGCAAATCTTTCACAGCTCGTACAATGTTGAGCTGATGATAGTGCAATCAATCACTATCGTCATATAGGTAGGGAAGGGAACGATGAGTAGATGTTCCGTCGTTTTAAATGTCACAGTGGGATGGTTTTGATCGGTGTGTTTTTGGAGCCACACTCAGGGTGTGGCAGAATTGAAACTCGATGCGTTCCAGTAGGCAGACAACACAAATAGACAGATACCAATGAACAGAAGACTATGAAATGATCACTCGACTTCCGAAAAAGCTATACGACTTTCAATAGTTGTTTGAAAAGCATTGTTCTTTCTAAATATGACCACAAATATGACTACTAAATATGGCTAAATAGTACCTAACTATTTTGGTATTTTATTGTCCCCATAGGAATCCTTCCTTCCATGTACATTCGAATAATGTTATCAACATGTTCGCCTTCGGGTGGGCGCTCCGCAAATGGCCACCAGCGGCAGTCGAAATACAGGGCAGGATCAAAGGAAACTCCTGTTCGAAATTGGAGCACCGAACGATTCATGAATAGCTAATGCACCTGCTTTCTGCCCGTAATCAGCTTAGACAACAATTTAGTAGCTTGCGAATGCAATGTCGGGGAACAGTTCAAGGAAATGAATCCCCTTGCCTGTGTTAACTTCCTTTAAAGACTACCTTGTGTTGGAACTTTGCTAGCGCTGTATTTAGAGGATGTGTTTTCAAAGTTTCCCGGCCCGTATCAGCCCCTAGACGTCATAAACAGAGTAAGTTCCTTTGCGTGTCTATTACGCGCCGACAGATCGTCAGTTTCTGATGCTAACAACGTCATGAGGATAGACATGCTAAAGAATTATTGGGTCAAATCCCTGTGGTCAAGCCACCCTTGGGTGTCCTGCAAAACTGTCTTGATTATTCCCATTTTCATATAGTTAGCAGGGGAGCTCTAAGGAAGCAAAAGTGTTTGATATCTTATGACTAACAGTTCAGGATGTTTATAGATACACCAATCTTCAGAACAAATTCGTCCTAAAGGACAATGCAAGCCTCCTAACCAATTGGTTATATTGCTCTAGCATTATTGCATACCATTCCGGCGTCACAAATTTACATACTGAGCTAGATCTAGAACATACATTTGAACAAAATACAGTTAATTAAGCCGGTCTGTGTCATATCTCCCCGAAATATTAGCCGCATGCATCCTCTTTTTTTTCGGTTGTTCCCACTTAAGGGCTAGTTTATTGAACGGTTCGAACGGTTATCAAACATGACACACAATGTTCGTTGCAAGAAGCCACGATGACCTTATCAGCTAAAACAGCATTGTACGAAAAAGCAGGAAACAAAATATACGCAAAGACTAAATCAATAAATAACATGTAGACCTATGCGTAAGTTGTGTATGTGTGTGTAGGTGTGTGTGGGTGTGTGTGTGGGGGTGGGTGTGTGCATGTGTGTGTGCGTGTGCGTGTATGTATGTGTGTGGGTGTGTGGGAGAGAGAGAGAGAGAGTTGGCGTTTATGTTTATTTATGCATAGGTGAATGTGAATGTGTGCGGACGGTGTAGGTGCATATGTGTATGTAGTGTTTGTGTGACAATCTCCTCCTCTGTACCAGGCGCGTTGCAAATCAACTAAATTGGAATGTATTTTTATTCAAGTATTTTTGTAAGATTACCCCATCGCTTTTCAAACTCTGTAAGATTATTATTTCGCTTCGCTATGATGAACTCATTTTTCACTTCAAATTTAAGGCTGTAGGACATCATCTGCAAAGACGGTATTGTTGATTTTAGGCGTGATTTATGTATGCATTTTTTGATAAGTGTGATAATCATCACCTCTATACTATTCAAACCTGTTAGCAAAAACCAATTTACACTATTAATATGCAAGGTAATATTGAATCTATTTTTCAAGTGTGACAGAACTTCTTTGATAAATATTTGTGTTATTCGGCATTGCCAGAATAAGTGAACTATTGTTTCCGTGGTGTTGTCACAAAATGAGCACTTATCGTTCTGGATAGCTTCAATGTTTGACAAATATTTGTTGGTTGCATAAATTCTGTTAATTATCCTAAAATGAAGATAGATAAGAAATGTTGATCTTGTGGCTTTGGTAACTCGTTGCACCGTTCCTTGTTCAAATTCGTTTATATCAAGTTTCCACTTGGTTTCAAGATGTTTGTTAGTTTTTTTATTCTCATCTGTTAATTTTTCAACAAATGTGTGATATGCAACCTTGGGTAGCTTGCAATTGCCTACAAGCAAAATTTTGAATGGTATATTTGGATAATTTATTAATGCTTTATCCACCTTTGCGCTTATTGTTGTTGGTAAGCTACGCAGTAAAGCCGTGTAACATAAACAAGTCATTTGTATTCCATAAACGGTTTCCAGCTCTTCTTTTGAATATATTTTCCCGGTCATATTATTGTATAAATCACATATAAATCTTATGCCACTGTTGTCCCACCTTTTGACAATTGTTGTATCGTATTTTGTCCAATTGGAGAACCATATGCTTTCTGACAATATTTGTTCTACTGATGGGTTATATTCATGATTAAACTTTATGAGACTATCCAGAATGTCGGTGTAAAATAAATTAGTAGTTTTGTCACGTAATAAGTTTAATTTGTTCGTGCCGTATGTAAGTAATTGCGTTGGTTCTGGAATCTCGCTATTCGTCACAAACGTCCAGTCGGCTTTTGATGACATATAGCGTTGTAACCATGATAGTTTTATGCTTTTAATAAATGAGTCAATGTGTACCATTTTCAAACCATCTTTGTAATAGTCTTGTATTACTTTTGTGCGTTTCACCTTGTCATTTTTACAGTTCCACACAAAATTGTAAAATATTTTTTCCAATTGTTTGATGCATTGTTTTGAAGGATTTGGTAGTGACATAAAAAGATGAACTAGTTTTGCTATGAGCAAAGATTTAAGAATAGTAATTCTTCCTATCGGTGTCAGATTACGACGCTTCCATTGCTCTATTTCTCGTTTTATAGCCGGTATTTTTTGTTGTATATTTTTATCTGATACATCTTTCAAGTCTTTTTCGAATTTCACGCCAAGAATCGTTAAAGTATCAACAAAGGTAACATTTACGCCTGTGCTTGCGTTTATTTGATTCTCGTTGA